ATCTTCATCCTTGTGAAATAATGAATTATTGTTAACCTTTTAAACGCGCTCAAAAAAAGAGACAAAATGAATCTGAGAGGAGAATAAGGTTAAAAGTAATCAGGTCAACAGACAAGAGTTGGGTAAGAATTAGAACGCTACCTTCCAGTTGACCGGGGACCGTTTTGGCAATACTGAATGTTGTTAATGTTTGTACACAATCGATCAAAATTGAATTATAACACAGAGAATGATTAATAAAAATCCATGCAGAGAGAAAGCTTAAACAGTTTCGTTACGACCCGAAAACGAAAAAATAATAGTATCTAGTTGTACAGATTGTCCTATCTGATTATTACATCAGAGAACAAAGTGTAAGTGATATCTAGTATACTCTTAGGCCTGCCTATTAAGCTGTCAGGGCCGAATGCCGGCCAAATGTAGAAAAGTCTTGCTCAACGTCGCCTTCACGACAACTTGGGACGGTAAGACGATGTCCTCCAAACGTGTTATAACTGATTTTCGATTTCATTAATGATGACCTTGTAACTTGGTCACCTCATACAACGGGTCAATTGGCACATTGAAAATAAAACTGCACTACGAACTAATATATTATATAAATTGGGTTCATTCAATCAGACAAGTTCAACTAGAATGATGTTTGATCATCACGCGATTTTTTAAATTTTAAATCACATATATTTGGTACTAATTAACAGAGTTTCAGACTCGAAAAAAAAATCCTCTCAACGGATGTCAACAAAATAAACGATTCCATTCAACGATTCTGTTTAGTTTTAATAAAACTACGTTGAATAGCTGAAAAATATTAAAGGAAGTACGATTAGGCATAAAACTCTAAATATTGTGCACAATTAGAGAGGATTCCTTACAACCGATTTTTACCAAATTTTCACAGTGTATTAGGCAAATAAGTTTAAACATCTTACCAAATATTGACAACACAGTTTGTTGATCAATTAGGTTGATATTAAAGGACGTCAGATTTTAGGGGATACCTCCTAACAAACCAACACACTTTATAGCATTGGGGTGAATGCCTCTGAACCAGTTTAAAAAAATATTTCATTGATAGTTAGGGCTAACTTTGCCTTTACACTGCCCAGTTCGAAGATTTTATAAAGCCATTACCAAAATATTACGAATATGCTATTTGGATAGGTTATTTTTAAAAAACTTCAACATTCCAGCCTATCTTTATGTAAGGTATTGATTGAGACAAAAAAGTCAGTGTCAAAAGAGGGATTCGAACCCACAACCTTCGGGTAAATACCATTTGACCTATCGTGGCTTCGATCCAGTCGGACACAACTCCCCTCCTTTCGGACACAATTTTCCCTCCTTTTTGCCATTTTTCATTTTTTTATCCCAACCAATACCATACATAAAGATTAATTAATTTTAATTTGACCTTTCTCTCCCCAGGAAATTCCATCGAACCTATGATCCATCTAAATAGTTAAGCAGATAAGGATTATTCACTAAATTTAACCATCAGACAACTCTTCCTCTTACAATCTCTTACCATAGCTGAAACGTTTTCTTGGGCATATGAACAAAAATCAAAATTCACATATTTATTGAGATATCCAGCTACGCAAAACTATTAAAAATAAATCGTGAGAGCTGTTACTCAAAAAATCGTATTACTTCTCTTGTTGGTTGTTAGAGGCACTTTGTGGCGAAAAATAATGATGATGTGGCAAAAACGAAAAGCGTGGGACCAAAAACGGCCGAACAAAGACAAACTAGAACCTGAATTGAATACTAATGAGTTTATAATTTTTCTGTTAAGCTAGAAACTTTTGCACCTGAAGATGCATGTAAAAGAATTGAAAAAAAACTTCATAAGGAAGAAACCAATTAATTCGAATTACAATCATGAACATAAAGGAAATTTGGTAAATTATTTTGGTCTAGGACGATTGAGCAAAATTTTCAGAATTGATCCCTAATTCTACCAATAACAGTGAGGTCGAGATTATAGGTTTGTTGTTAATAATCGAATTTTTTGGGCATGTTAGACGATTCCAGGTCAGAGATGTAAACATACCAAGTGAGGTCTGGTGATGGGATGTACATACCAATAAACGTCTTATGCCCAGGTCAAAACATCGTCCTGCCCGAATAAACACCGGCCACCGTCAAAGAAACTCGCATCGACTTTATGAGCTCCGGGTTCAATTTATCGAGCGATTTATAACGTTGGAAGGATGTTTCTGATTCATATCTGGAAGCCATTACTTCAAATAGGATACACGTGGGTGAGGTATCCTTCATTCGATCCAATGCGTAATTCCTAACGTATTCTTTAAGGATACAATTATGGTTTTTAAACATCTCTTAGGAGAAAACATTTAAACCACAACTGACGGCTGGTTTCATAAAAGTAAAAATATGTCTGGTTTCATCATCCACTTATTTTATTTCAACTGTTAGAGATAAATACTTTTGTAAGACATTGTGTATAAGCTGAACAACGAGAAGTAGCGGACAAGAAAAGAAAAAGATAGATCAAACTGAACATTCAACAACCTACAAACGATTCGGCATAATTTCATAAAGATAGTGTGTTTCGACCTGATGTAGTCAGGAGAGAAAATTAATTCGGTTTAAATTTAGTCCACCCGTTTTGTTCTGCAGTATTTTAGGAATATAATCAGTAACGTTTGTAAGTTTAATCTAACTTATATTAGGTTAATTGCACTATTTGTCAGATATTAAAGACAGGCTCTAAAACAAACTTTACAAATTATGGACGAAAAGGAAAACAACAGTGTAAACATTGCTATAACTCATCTTCAAAATGTCTAAGAATAAAATATGTCTTCTTTCCAGGAACTGTTAAGGTTCTCCCTTTGGAACAACGTAAAACAGATATCCCTTCCCACCCTTGATAGGGTGGAAATTATTCATATGGAGAGATCATGCCTAGCACTTCCCTCCGATGAAAAATCATAGGGAAGACAATGAAAAACGATTCTTTCTGTGTCCGTCCTCGTTTATTCCCGAGGGTTTTTAACGACATGTAATATTAATTTTCAATAGATGGCAAACTAGTTTCCTCGGTTCCTAGAAACTTCTAAGCTTTAGAGTTCGTTACGATAATTAAAATGAGGGAAAGCCTGTTTGTCTTCTAGTTCGTTACTAACTAGAACTACCAATAACTAGTTAATTAATGAATGAATACAACTGCAATTCTCACATCAGTGACTTTTTTTTAGATGAATGTGAGTTTGCCGCATTATGTTGTTATGTGTTACTACATCAATACCCGTGACATTATTATGTTTTATGAAAATATACAGTGTTCATGGTTTTGGTAACATTAATGCCTCGCATTGAAGCACTACCGCAATGAGATTACAAATGGAGGGGGAGCAACAGACACACAAGTACGAAACTCCATAATTTGAAGAAGAAAAAAAAAAGTTGGTTCGCATAAATGTATAAAATGACTAAACACGTATCACATTCTAAAAAGTCAATATTTTAACATAACAAACTTAAATCACAATGAACAAAACCAACCGTAGATTCTCCATTATTATTGTCACAAAGCATCTAGTGTTTGATCAGTTTCTTGGCATTTCACCGATCTTTTACAGGAGGATAAGTATCATAATGCACAATATGAAATCATCCGTGTGCTTGTGTAATAAATATGTTTGTTTATAAAATAAAAATATTAAAAAGTGTGTAACATGTGCACTATAAAAAACACGGGTTTCTGTACACAGAATGAAGATGCATAACTAATTTGCTGAAAAGTACCATACTTAGCTTGATACGGATTTTTATTAAATATTCAATTTCCATAAATTAATAATTGATATCCAAGAAACACCACGGTAGGTACAAATACTATATTGTTCACTCGTCAAAAAATTACAATGTGTAACTAATTTAAAGAAAGCCGTAGTATGTCAACGAGATAAAGGAGAAACAGTCTGCAAAAGCAGAGTTATCTATACCACCGTCGTGAACACAGCGCATTTGTAGCTGAGCCGATAAAATATTATCTAGTCGTCGGGCTGTTCTTCCCAGAACAGACCTGACATAACATACGTCATCTGGAAAACGCGAGAAGGCCCGATCTGTCTTTGCAAACACACTCTTCTCTTGTTGCTCCGAAAAACTCAATCCTGCCGAATTTGATAGATTGAACTTCTTTAAAAAAGAAAACGCCTAAGACAAAAATTTAGAAAATTTCAACTTTGAATAAGCCGTGAAACGATGTAAATCAACAGATCATAACTTGTTCGATGGGAAGGAAACAAATTGTAACGTACTTTTAGAAGTAGACACAAAATGAAACAGAATGTTTGTATAATTTTGACCTGGAATGATCAAATTTTTTTTATCAATCCCCACATAAATTAATAATTTTTTTAAATGGAATGTGCTAAAAGGTTAAAGTAGAGCACATATTTAGTAACACTTGTTAAAGTCACATTAGTTAAGGTATCAGCAATTTCACAGACGTGGTCGTGGGGTTCGAGTGCCGGTGAAGACGCTTGGACTTCTTTCACCCTCATCATACCACCACAAACGGTAGTTAGTGAAGTATACAACGATGTATAAAATGCTCAACAAAAATATATTAAAAAAATATACATAATGATTGTAAAAACTATTCCTGTTTTACGTTTACATATTGTATCTTAAAAATTGTGGGTTTTTATCATATTGTAATAAAAAAATACAATATGGTCGATCATACATTAGAACCAATAAAATGTACAATTTTAACTGAGGTGAGACTTCCCTTGACCCCTTTTCCCTAACTAACGGAAAAATAAGAAAATTGAAATGGTAAATTTAGCAGATGAAAAGCTATGAATAAATGGAAAATTCGATCGACCTTGGAATAATCGGCGTCTCGAGCAAGGCACGAGAAAACAAGAGTTTGTTTTTCATAAGGAAAGCCGAACTATTACTACGAGATATGTTGAGGAATAAAAGGAAGGCGTGAGGAAATTAACGGACTTTCTTACATTTGAGGGATAACGCCGTGATTTATACTTCTTGGGTTTGGTTTTCACTGGAATCAATAGGTTCTGGATGTGGAATAATTCGGGAAGTAAATCTTGTACCTGGAAACAGGGCAATTAAAAAAAAAATTATTAAATTGTTCAAAGTCAATAATGAAAACAAAAACATTGGGTTTGCTAATGCAGAAATAAATTATAGAATATTAAAAATTAATATAAATTCAAATGTATAAGGTTCCGGAGAAATGGCATCAATATATCCTGCCGATGCAATATTCTAAACACGTTTTTTTTCTTTTTTGCAAGCATTTTTGCAAGCAAATATATTTCAAAGAAACCTGCAATGCACTAGTTCACACCATTTGAAGTTTAATTGTCAATTCCAAGGCCAGATTTATTGAAATCATAAATAAATCTAATCAACCAGGACGACAAGACTTGAAATATAACACCACCTTATTTTACCGCTGACAAGTGCGCCTCGGATGCGATTGTCTAAATCAATTTAAGCAACGATCTCCCACTGTCAGATGTTGGTGAGACCGACAAAAGAAAGGTCGATAAAGAACCAAAAGGGTATTGATCCGGCAGGGAGCGGTAGCCCCTAGTGAATCACCCAGACTAGCTGTCTCCACTAACAGTCTAATGCCAAACTACCCTTTCCACCCTGTTATCAGTTCAAAAAATATTAGAAAACGTGACATTAATTTAAACGACTAATTTTTATTTGTAGCCTATGTTATTTATTTGAAGCGATGTCTGACCGGTTTGAGCTAAATTCAGCCCGGCTGTGCTTTGTGTTGCTTGTCAGACTTTTACACATTTATTCTGTACGTATCCAGGCCATCGAGTTTAAATTTATACATCAAGCACCGCCTCATCGTTTTACAACACTACATACTAAACGAATCAGGCAAACCGCTAAACTAGCAACTATAGTTAATACTTAATTGAACAAAGTGGCAAGTCGAGACATCTATGTTCAAAAGAAAATATTCAACTGACATAAAGAAAAGACCTTTTTTGCACAACTCTTCACAAAACTGGATATCCTTGCCCCATTTCATTCGTAGCGTGAGCAAATGTTCAAACACTTTCCTGTAACAGTTAATGACGGTCATCTACCAATTATCAGCCTCCGGACTATATGCAATTTCTTTCAGTAAAATGAAAATTTGGAGAAAAACACACTACCATGTTTCACAGTTTGATTTTATCATAATGTAAGGCGACCATATCATATGTACAAACGAGTCGGAATAACTAAGACACAGAGCCATATAGTGATTACTATAATAAAACGCATGCATCGTACGTGTACCACCCACCCACCTAGACAAAATTCCGTGCTGTTAAATTAGAATAGTTGCACGTTCCCAACGGTGATGGAATACCGGAGCATAATCATGTTTAAATCTCATTTCCATTGCAAGATGAATGTGCGGTTTTGAACGTTAAAAATGAGATCAAAACCCGTGCTATGTCTATCGTGTTTGCCTATTACAAGAATATCTGCTTCTGTAAAATCGCGTGTTTTTAATTTATTTTTTAGTTTGCTAATCTTCTCTGTATCGTTCCAATTTTAGTATATGTACTGCCGAAGCGAGTACGTGTATTTTTTTTAGTTTATTAGTATTCATTAAAGTTAATGTTATCTGCAGTTTGAGCCTTATTCGTCACATCACAGGTCGCCTCATTTTCGCTTTTTCTCCTTGGCTTTTTATCATAGACATAAGGCCAGTATTGACAGTAAGAAGAGGAAACTCGACAGGAAAAGGTGCGTCGCGTCACCCTACCGACAATAGACATTCAATTCGGGATATAACAATTATGTTAATAGTATTTAAATAACAAAAAAGCACCCTCGTCTTTACTACCTCCCTAACCATCCCTAACTCACTGTAGTATTCATCAGGAAAATACAACCCAATAAATAAACGAATAATATAGGAACATATATACACAATTCCTAGAATAATAAATTTAGCAAAGGCCTAGGGCAACTATTTTCCATGAACTCGCCCTTATCTGCCAAAGATAACTTCAAGCCACTCAAGGCGAGTTCCGGTCCTTCCTGGGATCCCCCCACCGACGCAGCCGAATTAAAAATTAAGCTTGACATTTTGATTGAAATAAAATGTCCATCTGCTTGAATTAACTATAATTAAATCTACGTTGAAAAATTCTCTTGAAACCATATCTTTCGTCCATGAAAGGTAAATTGAAATCATTAACAAACAACAAATACTTTTTCGTTCCACTTCTCGTTAAACGCATACTCATGTTCTGTACGTACAGAAACTCTGAGTTCTATTTGAACTTCAACAATAGCAACTCTCTGGCTTCTGTTTAAACCTCCAACAATCACCTACCATGTCCCTACCATGTCAACACAAGCAGAAAATATTAAGGTAATTAATTATTGTAATTCAGTTTTCTTCGTATAAATTATCGAGAGTACAGGAATAATGTAACACGAGCTGCAGCAACCGAACAGTTAATTAGATTACTTCTATTTAGTCTCCATAAACAATTACACAATTTTAAAAATTTAAATAATTTTATAAATAAAATTTTATAAATAAATCAGTTTAAAAATAAATCCATTATATTTAGTGGTCTATTGACCAAATTACTTCTTTCAATTAATTAATCTTTTTATGTAAGGTTTTGGTTGAAATTAAAAAGTTAGTGTCACGAGCGGGATTCGAACCCACGACTTTCGGCTCAATACGCTGCTGCTCTAACCACTTGAGCTATCGTGACTCTAACACCAACTTCCCATCTCAACATGCAACCTTTCGAATTTTCCCTCCTTTTTGCCAGTTCTCAATTGAGTAATCAGTGGCCACGGGGAGCTGTAAGCTCGTGAAAATAGCTTTTTCATTTCAATTAAAACCATGCATAAAAAGATTAATTTTAAAATAAACTTCCAACGACGAATTCATCACACTGTTTAAAATTCCACATTTCTTTAATGTCGGCGAGATTTAATTACTATATTACTAACTTATAATTACTATATTATTTCCGGTCGTAAATCAGTAAAACTAGATATTCTTAACAAAGGATGAACTGAAAAATTCGTCTGATTTATATACCGGTAAACGTTTAATTAATTAGGACAAGAACCCAAACAAATCGGGAGGTCCATTTCAATTTCATCAGTCACGGGAAATATTTTAGATTGAAAACAGCCTTGTGTAATAATTAGAAATGCCACTTACGAACTCAATAAAATGATGATGAAAAATATAATTTGTATACATATTATACAACATTCCCTTTACGATGGATAAATAATTTTAACGTTGCTGGAATTATTCGTCTTCTGCTATTACTAGTTTGTACAATCCAAACTTTTCATAAATTTAATATTGCTTATTTTAATCAAATATTCAAGCACTGATTAAAAAAATAGTGTCTAAAATTAGCTAATCAATAATATTTGCTAGTTAATTGGATGCATTATTTGATAATGTAAAGAAATGGGAGGAAAGTAAAACAAGATAAAACATCATCACAACATTCCCGAAAATATACTTTTATTCCGAAACGTTCCCGTTGTTCCTGACCAATGTCACAATGATTCCAAATATAAAATTCTAAAAGCACCCCGGGCTTTTCGATAGGAGGAGCCCTGCCAAAATCCTCGCTCCGTTCGCAAACCGTAAAAATAATTCAAAGACAGACGACGATCGAAGGGCGAAAGCAAACGCGACACGGCTTTACGCAAAGCGTTGAAGATTGGAATTTACAAAAAGAAAAAAAAAGTACCACCAGAAGCGAAAGGATCAGGTCTAAAAGCACACTTAGAAACCAGCGCTTAGCAGTAAAATTATGTCGCCTCCGGGGAAAAAACGTGGCTACCTGCTAACCACAACATACTTGCCAAAATTTACCGTCGAAAATCCAAACCACAACTTTAAACTACGTCCCGTGACCTATTTGCTTGTTACCTACCTCCATCAATCGAAACACTGTTCGATGGCATAATGTTTTCCGACCAATACTTCACAGAAATTAGAAACACAGAAATACTTCAAAATAAAGAACTAAATGAATAAAAAAATCATCAAACGTGCTTTTCTATAGGCAAATATATTAAATTATTTAATTTTATAACAAAATATTTCGTTCACACATATCACTTATAATAAATTAAATGATTACTTGGAGATCGTGAGATGCGGCCTGTGTGATGTAGGTCTCAGAAAAAAATTTACTTTATCGTGCCAACGTTTCGATCTTTATTGAGATCACCTTCACGGTCTGCGATTTATAAACATTGTTTAAATTATACAAATACAAGTAAGATATGAAAAAATGATTTTATACAATGATAGAAATTTACGACTCAATCAAAGTATTTGTACTCACTCAAAGTGTTTGTTTTCTGTGTAGATGTGTCACTTCTGTGAGTCGTGTTGAGAGTACCATACAAATATTAATGCAATTAAAACCCAAAACAATAATATCTCACTGGCACTCTCAACACGACTCAGAGTACACAGAAAACAAACACTTTGAGTGAATACAAATACTAAAAGTCTAAAATTTCCATCATTGTACAAATTCATTTATTCACATCGGCGAGATGTTAATGCAATTAAAACAAAAAAACATCAATATCTATGTTGATAAAACCCAGGCCCTGAATGATCTCAATAAAGATCGAAACGTTGGCACGACACAAAAATGTTTTTCTAAACCTAGGTAACACCAGACCGCATCTCACGATCTCCAACCAATCATTAATTAACTGTCACTAAACACCACACAAAAATAAATTAATTATTACAGTTGAAACTCATTAAATGGGGTAACTATAAAAATGAAATAAGAGAAAGAGCAATGGGTTTAAGGTCATAGTCGCGATCTAATAAATCCACTGTCAATAAAATAAGTACATAAAATAGCAAAGTAGATAAACAACCATTATTCAGAATTATAACCAGCTTGAGAATAAAACTCATCTTTCATGGATACTTTCTTCTGAAAGCCCCGTTGGTAAACTCTACTTGTTCATAATTGTGTTTCCAACTTTCAACACCTGTACAAAAAAATATTTATAATAAAAAATGGAAATACAGTTTGCCTTA